CATCTCATGGAATCCTCTCATTTTACAGATGAAAAAACTGAGTCCCAGAGAAGGCAGCAATCTATCGAAAGTCCCATGACACAGCAGGACTAGAATCCAGGGCTCTGGGCTCCTAGGCTGATTTGTTCTCCACAGTACCAAGTAGCCTTATTTCTTTGGGCTTATGGTAGGAAAAGACCAGCCTGCCAGCCAGTCCCTCCCTGAATTAGCTCCCTGTGTGCTCTCTCCAGAGAGTCTTCCTGAGTTACAACCATGCGGTGTGGCAGAGCAGAAAGAGCATGGGTGTGGGAACCTGGTAGATTTGGGCTTGAAGCCCAACTTTGCTGCTCCCCTAGCTGTGCAACCTTGAACAAGTTACTTAACCATGCCGTTTTGTCATCTGTAAAGTGGAGATAGCCATACCTCCCTTGCAGGGTTGTTGTGGGAGATTAAATGGGATACGGCACCTCAAGTGTCTACGGTATAATGCCTGGCAGGTAGCATGTGCTCTTTTGGTAGGAACTGTTGTTATTCTTCTACCGCTCCCCAGGTTCTATTTCTGCTTGCAGCATATTATCCTGCTGCCTGTCTCTGGTGGTGGTGGTCCTGGGATTGTGCAGGGGCTTCCACAGTATACCGAGCTAGCCAGGGCACTTCTCAAGGTTGTCTAGGAAGGCAGCCAAGGCATACCTTGGCTTATTTGTGTTTAGGGCAAATGTGGGTTAAGAAAGCAATCTTTGGACTGGGTTGTAGCCCAAGAGTATATTCTTTAGGACAATAAAATAAATTTAAAAAGTTTGGAAAAGTGGTCTGTGTGTAATTGTGCATAGGTGGGATAATTTTCACCATGCAAAAAGACTTTCCCATTTATACAAAGATTCAAGGTAGGATTCCTTTAAGTCACTAGTTCCTCTTAGGGCTCTTACTCTGGAGTCAATTTTACTAGCATGATTCACACCAACCTTCCAGGAAAGGGCTTTCTGCTTCCTAATGTCTTATCACCCCTTTTCTTCCTGGAGCGTCTCCTTAAACTTTGAGTCAAAGCAGTGGAATCTTGGATTGATAGCAACATAGCTGTCATATTTTATTGATATACCGTATACTGTAAAATGCACCATGATTGTATGTATCACCAAGAAAGAGAAACAAACACTGCTTGCACTGCTTATCTGCTTATTGTAATTTTAAGATTTAATTGATTGTAAAACAAATCTTTATTTCAGAAATGTTAAAATGTTAACAAAAATAGGCCTTTTTTTTTTTTTTGAGACAGAGTTTTGCTTTTGTTGCCCAGGCTGGAGTGCAATGGCACGATCTTGGCTCACTGCAATGTCTGCCTCCTGGGTTCAAGTGATTCTTCTGCCTCAGCCTCCTGAGTAGCTGGGATTACAGGCGTGAGCCACCACACCCAGCTAATTTTGTATTTTTAGTAGAGACAGGGTTTCTCCATATTGGTCAGGCTGGTCTCGAACTCCCGACCTCAGGTGATCTGCCTGCCTCAGTCTCCCAAAGTGTTTGGGTTACAGGCGTGAGCCACCATGCCTGGCCAAAAATATGCCTCTTAACAATCAATGAAATGAAGTGTTTGAGGACTTCTGGATCAACTGGATAGGTTTGCATACTTGTGGAATGAAAGATACAGCTGGGACTAAATCCCCCCCAAAATACTTGCCTTAACATGATTTTTTCTTTTGTTAAAGAAACCGCCAATCTACAGGCTCTGTGAGAGCAGAGACTGGGTCTCTTTTGTTTACCACTCTTTCTCCACCCCTTCACTCATAGTAGGTATTCAGCAAATATTTGCTGTAAGAATAAATAGAACAAAGCCACAATATGAAAGAGATGGAAAGCCCAGAAAAGAAAATAAATCATTCATAATTCCCCCACTGTGGGTATTTTGGCTGATTTCCTTCAAGTCTTATTTCCTATGAATATGCTCTTTTATATACATGTAAATATAATGTATTATTAGATTTAGCTCTGGGATGTGTTTTTGTATTTCTCTATTAATATAAATGCAATGATGAAATGAGATGATGCGGAAATGCTTTGAAGACTGTAAAATGTTTAACAAATATCTTATTAGTTATAATAATCATGAAAATATAGACATGAATGGGGCTGATTTTCTGAGAATACACTTCAAAGCTAACAGCAAATTTGAAGCTGGGAATATGTTCTGTTTCCTCATCCTACTCACCATGGGGAGTCCTTCTGTTTCATATTGGAAAGGAAAAGAGAGACTTAAGGCTTCCTAGAAGTCATAGCTTCAACTTCCCACCCAGCCCAGAAATTTCTTCCATCTCACTAATGGAAGATCTGCTAGGGCAGGGGGAGGAAAAAGCACGTCTCTCAGGCTGATGGAAAATAGCAGCCTATAGAGAGCTTCCTCCTCTCCACCCTTCACTAGCAGTGGAGAGAATTTCACATTGGGTTTCAAGGAATGCTTATTCTGCATGCTAATAACAATGTAGATAGCAGACAGATGTCAACACAAGTAAGTAATTCAGGATATTGGAGGTAGGTACATTCAACAAACCTCAAAGTCAGATTTGCCTTGGACAACTAGTTAAAATTTTACTTTTAGATAGTCACAGAATTTATATACATATTGATTAGTCTAACCTGTGCCTGGTTCTTTGAACTGATGTGGGTTTACTCATACAACAGAAGGGAGTGTTGACAGATTTTCTCTCCTTGACCAAACTCTAGCAGGCTCTTCTGAGCCCTCTTCTCTTCTAAGCCTCACCCTTCGTTGGCCTGTGAAGACTTGAACAAACACTGACATAGTTTCTAACAGCTCAGGGCCACATCCCTAGAACTCCTCTATCCTCTCCTAAAGTGCCTGTCTGAGAAAACCCGAGGCTGCCAAGAGAATTTACTGCTTGCTCCAGCCAACACCTGAAGATGAGGCCCCTGTATCCCAGTCTCTGTGGGAGGGTAGGAGTCTAACTTCAATAAGCACCAGTTAGCAAACCAGATGCATTTCACAAGGACCAGCCCCCAAGCCCCTTTCTGTTTTTCATGATTTCTCACTTCTCTGACTCTGCTGTTCAAGCCCTTGCTGTTCCCTCTGCCCACTCCCCCATTCTCCCTTTAAAACACCCAGGCCCTCTCTATGAATTGGAGTTGAGTTGAGCTCATACTGCACCCTCTTCCCTTTTGCAAAAGGATATCATTGATTAAATCTGCCCTCACCATATCAACCCATGCCCAGCTTTGTTTACTTTTGGCGGGTTCTCAAGAGCTCACCTAGGCTAGTAGCTCAGGCTGTCAGCTCACCTAGGCTGCCTGCCCGTCTGCATGCCTCTGCTGGGTAATCCTTGTTCTCACTCTTCTTGACTCTCACAGCTTTAGCCTTGAACTTTGCCCTGCCATCCTCGTGCCCTCCTTCTTTGTCCTCAAGGATATATTTTCCTGGCCATTTGGTTTCTACCTTGCATACCCTTGGATACCCCTTTTTGCTCTTGCACCACCTGTCTCAGTCTCTGGAAGCCCGCAGAGGCCAGGCTAAGCTTCTGGCACCTCCTGCCCCTGCATCAAAGCTGTAGTCGCATTCCCTATATGCCGCAGTGAAGTTTGACCTTGGCCTTCACTAACTGCACAGGCATCGTGTACAGGACAGAGTTTGTGAGGGCTACACCATCAACACTTTCCCAGAGAGTGAAAAATAATATAGTTCATGTATAGATTAATTTTTTTTTTCTTTGAGACAGAGTCTGTCTCTGTCTCCTAGGCTGGAGGGCAGTGGTGCAATCTCAGCCCACTCTGGCCCTCTTTACCTCCCAGGCTCAAGTGATCCTCCCACCCCTACCACCAAAGTAGCTGGGATCAAAGCATGCACCACCATGCCCAGCTGATTTTTTTTTTTTTTTTTTTTGGTAGAGATAAGGTCTCATGATGTTGCCCAGGCTGGTCTTGAACTTCTGGGCTCAAGGAGTCCTCCTGCCTTGGCCTCCCAAAGTGCTGGGATTACAGGCATGAACCGCCGTGCCTGGCCCTACAACCAGTTTTTAATGCAGAATATCATTTTATAAAATGGCTAAACAGCTGTGATCAGTACCAGGTGAAAGATGACATTTGAGCCAAATTTTAAAAGCAACCTGAGCTCATCAGTTACACTCATGCATCTTTCCTTGTTCCTCCCTCACGGTTCTCCCTGGGTCTCCCTTTCCCACACCCCAGAGTGGGTGCCTGCACTACTCACAGACTTAACTCTGCCTAAGGTCTTCCCCAGAAACTTGTCTTAGGTGATCTGGTTTAGGATTCCCCCCCAGTCACAGTGTCTACAGCTTTTATTCTAGGAAAACCAGGCAACAAGTATCCAGGAGATAAGAGAAAGAAACAGTCCGTGTCTCTCCACAGTCCTGCTTTGAGACTGCCTCCCTACTGAGAGTTTGCAAAGGTCTCCCTTTTGAGATGTAAGACTCGCTTCAGACGTGAGGCTGTGCCTGTCCTCCCTCCACCCACAGACAGAATTGATGCAGCATTCCCAGCTGGGCGGGTGAGGTCCCCTCCCCAGTGCTATATCAAAGAGAGCAGACAGGGGCCCACGTAACAAGGGCTCACTCCACTTAAACCCTGTGATGGGAGAGGGACGCCCCACCCCTTTTCTTCTTCTAGGCTGCTTTGAATTGTATTAACACAGTTATAAAACACATCAAACCCTGTTTAGCAGTTTCCCTTAGCATCCTCTGGCCAAAAAAAAATATATATATATATATATATATATTTTTTTTTTAAATTAACTTGTACAAAAAGTCAACTATGACAGAATGGTCTGGAAAAGAAAAAACCCAACCAGTTTGGTGAAAAGAAAAATGAGCTGGGTTTCCTTCACACCCAATTTTAGAAACCAACAGGTGGTACAGGAGAACTGGTGAAGAAGGCGAGTGAACACCTTCCTCTAGTTTCACGGTAAAGACCTTGACTGAGTGGGAATTCCATCTCTCTTCCTTGTGCCTCTGCAGGGGGTTGGGGGAGGCTGAGGACCATCAATTCTGGGAGCCCAGGGAACTTACCCTCTGCTCCTGTGTGGCCACAAAGGTCTGGAACCCTGGAGCCACCCCAAAGCCCAGCTCTTGGATGAAAGGTGGCTCAGACTGACTGTGGATCTGAACTTTCACTCCTGCTTCAAATGTCGTTTCCTCTGAAAGAACAAAGACGGACAGAGCCATGGGTCAGTAACAACAGATGCTCAGGGAGTCCTGGGATTGAAAAGCTCAAAGGGATGCTGAAAATGTCCTGCGATAATCAGAATAATGGCCCCCGAAGGTGTGCATGTCCCCATCTTCAAAAACTGTGACTAGGTTCCTTACATGGCAAAAGGGACATTGCAGGTGTGATTCAGTTAAAACTCTTGAGATAGAGAGACAATCCTAAATTACGCAGGTAAAACCCAGTGTAATTGCAGAGATTCCTATGAAAAGGAGGCAGGAGGATCAAGGTCAGAGAGAGAATGGAAAAATGCTATGCTGCTGGCTTTGAACAGAGGAAGGAGCCATGGGTCCAGGGATGCAGGTAGCTTCTAGAAGCAGGAAAAGGCAGGGGAATGATTTTTCCCCTAGAGCCACCAAGAGGAACACAGCCCTGCCAACAACCTTGATTTTATTGAGCCTAGTGAAATCCATTTTGGACTCTGACCTCCACAGTTTTAAGATAATGAATCTGTTGTTTTCAGCCACTAAATTTGTGGTAATCTGTTGCAGCAGCAATGGGAAACTAATTCAGGTCACTTTGCCAGGCTAACTCCTTGCCTTAGTTGCCAAATCGGTAGAATGGGATTATGAGTCAAACTTTTTTATTTTATTGACTAACTTTTCTTCTGGGTCATGAGCTGAAGGTGAGGATATCAGGAGGAGGAAAACATGATGATGCAGCAGTGAAAATAAAAATGCATGGCTGGCTGGGCGCGGTGGCTCATGCCTGTAATCCCAGCACTTTGGGAGGTCCAGGTGGGTGGCTCACCTGAGGTCAGGAGTTCGCGACCAGCCTGGCCAACATGGTGAAACCCTGTCTCTACTAAAAATACAAAAATTAGTCAGACGTGGTGGCAGGCGCCTGTAATCCCAGCTACTTGGGAGGTTGAGGCAGGAGAACTGCTTGCACCAGGGAGGTGGAGGTTGCAATGAGCCGAGATTGCGCCATTGCATTCCAGCCTGGGGGAAAAGAGCAAGACTTACTCTCAAAAAAAAAAAAAAAAAAAAAAAAAATGCAGGGCTTTCTTGTATGCCAAGGTGTTTGCCCCTTGGGGCTGTAATGGCCAACTAGAAGGGAAGCTTTCCCCCTTTTTTCCTTTGGCAGGAGAAATGGCTGTTGGCAGTGGGAGGTCGGGGGCAGTGCAGAGCCTGGCTGATCCTAAATGTTCAGTGCTCACAACTGGTGGAGAATGAACTTATGGGACTGTATAAACCTTTACCAGATCCCCCTCTCCGTCTTACCTTCTCCAAACAGTCTGCTGAATGAGCTTTACAAAATGCAAACTGCATAACTCCCTCCCATGTTTCCAAGGACCCCAGGCTCCTTATCCAGCCCTTCCCCAGCCTTGTTCAGAGCAGCCTCTGCCTCGTGGCAATCCATACAGGGCTGCCTAGATTGGGCATCTCCCATTCCCACTCTGCACAAATGCACATGCATCTCCTTCTGTCTGGAATGTCTTTCTACCTTGTTCACCTGACCATCTTCCCACTTGTCAATGAAGATTCAGCTCCCCAACCCCATCCAAAGCAACTCTTTCTCTTGCTCTGTTGTATCTTCCACATCTGTCTACTGCAGCCCCTGCCATAGCGTGTGGTGATGAGCCTTTAACTGTTTCTTCCAGGGAGCTGGAACATCCTGAGGCCAAGTTCTGGGCTGTCTCCCTGGACCTCAAAGGTCCTGCACAGGGCCAGGCATACAGCAGGCACTCAGGGGATGCCTAAAGAATGAGTAAGGGGGAGATTTATGGGTCAAACCTCAATCACTGATGAATGGGCAAGGCCAACCTAGAGTCCAAATCAAGAAATGTCCTCAAAGAAAAAAATGGGGAGAGAATGGATACATGCAGGAATGGGAGAGAATAACGATAGGGGTTGGGAGTCAGGGATGAAGAGAGGGAGGTCATGTCCACACTCAGGCTGTGGCTTGGGGAGGGTTTGGGGACACACTAAAGCTGGCACAGAACAGAGTGGCTGAGAAGGAAGGGCTGGTGCCAGCCACCAGAAGGGCACAACCCATGGAAAATGTGGGGGCTATTGACTGAGGCAGGCATAGGGGTCTGGAGCAGGGTGAGACTTCCAAGGCCAGGGGCTATGTGGAAAGGAAGGCCTAGTAGGCAGACAGGGACCCAGGGAAGGGTAGGCAGGGCTCTCATCATCTAGACAAGGAGTCCAGTGGCTGACATGGGGTTTTAGGAAAAGAGACCCTCAGCCAGGAATCCTTTTGGATAGGTTCACAGAGTGGGAGAGAATCCAGGCAATCCACAAACACATCCCCCTTCCCTCCAGTAGAGTCAATTGTTCTGTGGTTTCTGTACAGCATCACCCCGTCCAGACTCCTATCCATATGCTCCTGGATGCCTGTGGGTTTGTGTCCATCTCTCCCATTGATGAATTCCTCAAGAGAGGAGATCATATTTTATTCAGTCCAGGGTCCCATCCCAGCACTTTGGGAGGACAATCTGGGTGAATCACCTGAGGTCAGGAGTTCGAGACCAGCCTGGCCAATATGGTGAATCCCTGTCTCTACTAAAAATACAAAAATTAGTGAACTGAGATCGCGCCATTGCACTCCAGCCTGGGTGACAGAGTGAGACTCTGAAAAAGAAAAAAAAAAGAAAGAGAGAAACTATCTCTGAAATATGGGAACATTGTTGTTATTTATTTCCCTAAAGCATTTCCTGAGATGCTGCGTTGGAGTTCATAGAAACAGAAAGGAAGAACTGACCCGCTTAAGGACAAGACACAGAGTTGGATGCTTCACAGCAGTCCATGTGTGTCCCCTCGCTCACTGGACAGTTATGCATCAAAGGTGAGCACATGCCACTGGCCTTGGACGCTTGCCTGGCTGGCTTGGAGTTTTAACTAAATTATGTATATTTTCTGCATCACACTTAGCATGTGCATGAAGCTCATCTTCCCAGAATGAAGGAAGTCAGGCTGCTTCTGGCTGCTAAATGGATACCTGCTTCCAAGCGTTTTCCTGATTTATGGCATCATTGCTCCAGAGTCCTTGGACACCTGTGGAGGCCCCTATCCAGCACAGTGAAGCCAAGAGCACAGTGAAACCTCTGTCCTCCTGGAGCTTGTGTTCTGGTGGGGGAGGTGAACAACAAATAGGTACACGTGTAATGTCAGGCCAGCGCTGGCAAGTGCCAGGAGAAGTGACACAGAAGAGGTGCATGGCAGGTGTGGCTCTCTTGGCTGGGAGTCAGGAAAGGCCTGTTCAAGGTGATAGTCTTTGTGTAGTAATCAGAATGAAGCGAGCAATGAGCCATGGGATGACCCAGGAGAAAGTATTCCAGGTGGAGGGAAAAGCAAGTGCCAAGGCTCTGAAACAGGTGTGCACTGGGCCCACTTTGAGAACAACAAGGAGACTAGAGTGGCAGGGACATAGTCAGAGGCCAGCTAACCATTTCATTAACTCCTCACAGTTACCCTTAGAGGCAGGTGCCCCCATTTTACAGACAGGGAAACAGGCTCAGAGAGGTCAGCTGGCTCTAGCCACACAAAGCAGATCCAGAATCCAACCCTTGTCAGCTGGACTCCAAGGCCTGTGCTTTTTGCCCCCTGCCACGTGGCCTTGCCCACATATTGTGTCCCTTTCTAGCACCACTGACCACATCCTCACTGGTTTGGGTCTTTTGGGACTTTGCAGGCTGGGACCCTGAGCTGCTGAGCTTTGCATCCCCTCTGGGTCATGGCGAACGACAATCTTGGCAGATGTATGGTAAGCTTCAGGGTTTTCAGACTTGATCCTGCTGGCTCCTCTGAGCTGTGCTGAGGCAGGTGTCAATATCTCCATTTCATTACATTCTATTTTACTTTTTTACATTATGCTCATTTTACAGATGAAGAAACCAAAGCTCATAGAAAGTAAAGGACACACACGGGGCCAGTGACTCATGGCTGCACAGAATTTTGGAGCTAGGAGACCCATTGACAATTTAACTAACTTTACCTTTTCAGGTGAGAAGGTAAAAGTTTTCACCTTTCAAGTGAGAAAATGGAAGCTTACAGAGAAGACAGTGGCCAAGGGCCATGTGGCAAGTGGCAGGTGGACAGTGGCTGAGATCCAGGTCTCTAGATTCCTCACCTTCCTCTGCCTTTTGTTAGTGGGCTAGAAGACACGTTGGTCCCAGATGACAAGCTGATGAATTTCCAAGCTGGACAGGGACGGATGGGGAGGAATAAGAGTTTACTTTGCAATGGGCTTAGCAGTCTTATTCATTCATCTCAGAGTTTAGAAGCTCAGTGAGTGTGGGACAGTGATGGTAACAGGGAAGGACCAGAGTCCCAGCCCCAGCCTTGAGAGCCTGGTGGAAAGGGCCAGTGGATGCTGTTTGAAGTCAACTTGTGGTGTCATTTTAGACCCTGCTCCCCTGTGCACACCAGAGAAGTTCAGGGAAGCCCAAGGCCAGAGAAGAGAGGCAGAGAAGTGCATCAAGAATAACATGGGCTCTGAAATCACAGAGACCTGGGTTTGACTCTTAGCCCCACCATTTAATTGCCCTGTGACCTCGGGTAAGTTATATTGCCTCTCTGAGCTATAGCTTCTTTTTTGTCCAAATGAAGTAGGGACTGATCTCTCAGGTTACTTTTGGCTCTAAAATTCTATGAGCTGAGGGCTATATGCTAGTGTCTTCACCTCACTGCATCTCATTTTAATCTCCTGAAAAACAGATTTTAAAAAAGTAGATGGGGGTGTTCAGAGCTCACATCGAGTCAGAAGAGGCTGATTTTTCTAAAGACAGCACAAAGAATCCACAAATTGCTGCCTATCTAAAATTGGGCAGTGTGCATCTTGTCCTTCCTCTCCAACTCTTCCCTGACAGATAGGCACAGTAAGGCAGCATCCCTAGTTAAGAAGATCCGAAATCAGCACAAAGATGGGAAAGCTCACGCTTGATTGCTCACAGGTGATATTTTGAAGCTAGGCAAGCTTCTGGAGGAA